TGTACACGCTCTGTAGAGTTGATCAATCTATATGTATAGCAGCATCCTCGGATATGGACATTCCTATGACCTACACTTCCCTTGATTAGCGAGTGGAGTCATTTCTTCTCTCCCTTGGGTTCTTGTGTTGGTTTTCGGCTTTGGCCAATGAGGCAAGGTATGAGTGGGAGTCATCCTTGTCGCCTAGAGAGTGTGAGAGTGGTGAAACGTGTGTGATGGGATGGGAGAATGTGTGGATGAAATGGGTTAAAACTTGATGAATTATTATTAAAACTTAACATAGTCGCATAGGAAACTACAGCCACAAATAGGTCTTTTGCTCTACCCTTGCATTCCACTACCACAAAGCAAACGAAAAGCATAGGGTGGGAGCCAGTGCCCAGTACAAATCGTACTGATAATTGTTTGACAGGTTCCGAGCTTGAGTACGACTACCAGGGAGACGGTTGGGAGGATTAGAGGTCTCGTTCCTACGCTCAAGTTTGGTTGAGAAGATGGAGTCGACGTCCATCGCCTTTCTACTTGATGCTGTTCTAGATGCTGTGTGCTCTAAGTGATTTCGCCAAGTGGCGATGTAATAATGAGTAAACCTTGTTATTTGTACTCTCTTTAAGATGGGTATTTGATGTATGACTGTGATATCGACTGTTATTTGATAATGTGATGGGATGATCACCTGGGACTATGATGTTATACTTCGAATATGTGGATTTCCTTTGAGGAAATCAAGATCGTTGTAGTGTGGGCTTGGCTTTGTAGACGGCGTCTCAACTGCATGAGCCTAGGATCATACCATGGACTATGCCCTCTAAGTCTATAAATGATGGACCTGATGCATTTGAGACCCTCAGGGAAGAGGGCACAACCTAGATTATTAGAGACACAGTACAAAGCGCCTCTCCACTTCCACTATCTGCTACACCACTTCATACAAGAATTAGCAGCGGTGCTGAAGAAAACCCCATTTGCCCCAATCTAATCCTTTTTTTTCTTGGATTAGGGTAGAAAGGAGATGGGGAATAGGATGAAATAAATATGCAGCAACAAAGTCGAATTGGAGGAATGCCATCTCAAACAGTGGAGGGACAACAAAATAATGTTTGGCCCCAGCTTACTGCGCAGTAGCAGGCACCTGAATAGGGTATCAACCTGAACATAGCTCCACTTGTTTTGGAATAGGACCTCAATGAGCTCCTCATAGAGGAAGATGTACATGAAGTCCCCATTCCCCCTGTTATCCAAGAAAACCTTCAGACTGTCAATATAGAAGTTGAGACATAGAACATCCTACCAATTCTGCAGCACCTAGAAGAGCAGGAGCATGATGGGGTACAGGAAGAAGTGGCGGAAAATAAACTACAAGAGCCACTTGTTCCTATTCTGCAGGGACAATAGCAAAACTTTTTACACTTAGAAATTCTAAAGATGCTCCGATAAATGAACAGGAAAGGCAGGAAATGTAGAATGATGATGAGAACATTCAGAGGGAGTGGTATGGAAATTGTCAATTGGTGGTCAACAATATACACCTGGGTATGATAAGAATCTACCCAAACTTCTCTCCCAACCACCATCAATGGACATGTTGGCCAACAGTTGTTACCTCTGACATAGGCAATGCTTCTGTCTCTCCGAAAGAACTAGGCAGCTTTTTTAAAGTTATGGGAGGTGACCGGCACGCCCCGATATGACCCGTGGCCGTGACGGGCCATACCTGAGGATTCACATCAAGAACAGCGTCGGGCGAACCGGTGCTGTTCTACCTAACCCTTATACGAACACTAACGGGCGCGTCAGTTCACCACAATGTCCGCCAGAACAAAGTGGAGTGCCATGACCAGTAGACGATGCCTGCACATGGCACCAGTGACGGACAGGGCCACGACATGAAGTTGTCCCTGTTGATGTCTACAGGGTCGGCGGGACCCGCATAGAAGAGAAGAAGGACCTAGTGATCCTGGAGGGCTTCTTTTCCCTCTGATTCTTCTTTTTCCCCTCCGCTGTAACCCCTGCTTTCCGATAAAAGGGAAAGCAGGACATCCCATTAAGGAGACCGATCTTGCATCCGAACACATCCGAGCTCGACTCAAATCCGAACCGATCGGAACTCAACGCAACACATCACCAGGGACTTAGGACCCGTCCCTCTCTCGACCGTTTGTAACCCCTACTATGAACTTTCAGTGCTAGTAACACGAGCATCATCAATGAACTGGACGTAGGGACATTCTGCCCGAACAAGTATAAACCTTGTGTTCTCTTAGCACACCATCCGGGCCAGACACACAATATTAGAAATTTACTTGTTGCTGGCAACTCGAAACACCAACAATTGGCGCGCCAGGTAGGGGCTTTTGCGTGTCTCGACATCCATACCAGGCCTCGGATGGCTAGTCACAACCTAAGCTAGGTCCGGGGCGCACACGTGCGCTTCGGGGACCTAAACTTCATCATCACGGTGGAGGGAGAGTTGGCAATGGATCTCGCCGCCATCCGACCTCTCCACTCCACCGGCCTCGATACAATCGTCGAGGCGCTTGAGGAGCTGCAACTGCATGCACCGGAGGCCCGCGCCCTTGGAAGCAACTAGCTCCTCGACTTCGACTATGGGAGGTTAGAGCGCCAGCTCGACGCCTTCCTGGGACCCCGGCCATCCCGGGAGGACCTGCGCCACCTCACCTTCTCGTTCGCTAATGTCATGGCGCAGCTTGCCGGAGGGGAGCCACTCTCTCTGGAATACCTCATTTGGTGCGCCCCGACAGCGCTCCTATTTGGTCTCCATAACACCGCAGAGACCGACGGCCACCATGCGGTGCAACACATGCCTTCATCCCCCGTGAACGACGGGTTCGTGGGGATGACCAAATATGTCGTGGAGTCTTTCCATGACCTCCTCACGGGAGAATCGGAGTCACCTGTGGCTCTGACTCCAACAGGGGGAGTCATCACCCCTCTCGTGAGTGTTTCATGGCAGGTACCCCCGAGGGATACGTCAAAAGCATCCACGAAGAGGAGGCTACCCCGACGAACGACCTCGACGACGAGGTCGAGGAGGAGACAGGGGCCCCACCTCGTATGTGGGTGGAGCAGCTGAAGGGCCAGCACCTAGAGCTCGAGGAAACACGACTCCAGCTCGAGCAAGAATGCACGAAGCTCGATCAGGAGATCGAGTACCACGGAGATGGTGGGCGCGAGCGCACCATGGCCTGCGACGTGAACCGGTGGATCATCGCAGACGATGAAGCCCTCCCACACTTTGCCCGTGCGAGCTAGAACATTGTTGCTGCGGTGGTCTTGCTCCGTGGGCTTCCGGGGCCCACGATGCCCGAGGATCGTCGAGCCCACCGCGAGATTCGCACACTGCTCGAGCGAGCAGCGGCGCAGCAGGCCGAGAGCTCATAGTCTCGGCGACACGAGCTTGACGCCAGCCAGCGCATGCCCTCAGGGCGACCCGACAAGGATGTGTCAGTCCACCAGGCGCCACAAGGCAGCAGGCAGCGCACCGCGGTCCTGGTGCATGAGCGTCTTCATGGGGAACCCTCGACGCCCGTAGACGTACCCACGACGATCCGAGAGAGGGAGCTAGCCGGGCTATCACCCTCGTCATGGTGGACGCTACGACAGCGGCGAGGACCGAAGCCCGAGCCCTGGCCTACTGGGGCCTCAGGCCTTCGGACGACACATCCTCAACACCGCCTTCCCGCCAAGGTACCGACCACCAACCAATATCCCAAAATACTCTAGGAAAACGAACCCCGGATTGTGGCTCGAGGATTATCGGCTTGCCTACCAAGCCAGTGGAGCGGATAATGACGATTTCATTATCCGCAACCTTCCATTGTTCCTGACCGATTCGGCGCGAACATTGTTGGAACACCTTCCGCCCAACAGAATTGAAAGTTGGGCGGACCTGAAAGAGATCTTCGTGGAAAACTTCCAGGACACGTACAAGTGCCCTGGGAACCCATGGGATCTCAAGAACTGCCAATAGAAGGCCAGAGAAACCCTTCGTGGGTACATCCGATGTTTCTCCCGGCAGTGCAACGAGCTGCCTAACATCGTCGACACCGACGCCGACATTATAGGAGCTTTCCTGTCTAGGACCACCTGCGAGTCCCTAGTTCACAAGCTGTGACGTAAGGGCCCGCGAACCACCAAGGAGCTCCTCGACATCGCCACCAGCCACGCCTTGAGCGAGGAGGCGGTGGGAGCGATCTTCGATCGCCTCAAGAGCATGGCAAAATGGGACGAGGACGCCGACGAATGCGCCTCCAAATGTCCCATCAAAAAGAAGAATAGGCAGTGACGCGAGGGCTTGCTCGTGGCCGCCACCGACCGCAGGGGGTCGGAAGCCCACGGAGGGCACTCCAAACCACTTCGAGAAGCTACTCGAGGGGTCATGTCCGAACCATGCCTTCCCCATCAACCATCTGTATAAGGACTGCGGCCTCATGGAGCGGTTCTTGTCCAGAGGCTCCAACAAAGTAGAGCACAGGAAAGACCCCTACCCGACCACGGACGATGCCCAGGGGAAGGACAGCGGCTTTCCGATGTCAGATGGCTGCCTCATGATCTTCGGAGGGTCGACAGCCTATGACTCCGAGCGCCGTCAGAAGCTCACGCGCCGCGAGATCTATACGGCCGAGCCGGCCGCGTCTACCTTCCTCCGATTGTTGGAGTCCGTCATAACCTTGGATTGGATCGATCACCCGGAGAGCATTCCGCAGCCAGGGAGATACCCATTCATAGTCGACCCGATCGTACGAAGCGGCTCACCAAATTACCCATGAATGAAGGGAGCGGCCTCAACATCATCGAGTACGTTGACAAGTTCGACACTATAGACATCGACCGCAATTGATCGACCGGAGCGCGTTTTCAGGACATCGGGCCTGGAAAGCATACCGCGCGACTTGGGATGCAGGCCCTCCATCGCGCCTCCGCGCGTTCCCCTCTCCTCCTGGCTCTCCCATTTCCCGCACGCGGTCCAGACCCCGACGATGAGGACCTCCAAGAGCGCCGCGGCGCCCCCGGCGTCCCTGACGAGCCCGAAGTCCTGCGCCACCAAGCGGCAGCGGAAGGCGGCAGCAGCGGCGCCGCTGGGCGACGTCACCAACCTCCTCGTCGTCGCTGAGACCCCGACCACGAGCAAGCCCAGGAGGACCGCACGCCGGTCCCTCCCCGCGCCCTCCAACGTCTCCGCGGCCTCCTCCGCCTCCGTCACGCCCGCGCCCAAGCCTTCCTCCGCCGCCGGTTAGTGAAGCTACTGCACCGATTTGTGCTCGATCCGCTGCAACCGGCTGTTTTTGAATGGTAGTGGCATCTCTTCGATCCGCATTGGAGTGCGATTTCTAATCCTGCCTCCTCTTCGTTTGCAGTCCTCGAGGAGGAGCGTAGTGTGCTCAAATCGCCGACCATCTCCACAGTTCACCGCAGGACCACCGAGGCTCAAGGGAGGTGGAGGAGGAACCCCACCGCCGCCAACAGCAAGGGCAAGGAACCTGTCGCTGCCACGGCGAGGTGCCCCCCTCTTGGGAAATCTGCAAGGACCAACAGCAGGTGAGATTACTTTACTTGCCTAGCCCCAGTATATGTCATCTGCATTGGTGTATGTTCAATTCAGCCTCGTCAGTATTAGTGCCTCTCGGCTGTCAGGCTGTGCAATGATTGTGACTAGGAACCTGTTAGCCTAATAGTAGGTTCTTTTGTGGGTGCTACAGACCTCCCTTGTACCTTCGCCAATCATTATCATTGTCTTTAGTTTGTGTGGCAACTCGACGCCAGATAAGTACACCTGAAATTTTCATAATGCACATTCCTGATTGCCTGTGAGAATCAATACTCTACTAGTTGTTTCTTAAAAAGGGCCCGGTGATATCATAATCAGTGAGAATCACCGTCCACCACGCTTAGGCCCTGTTTGGATTGCAGCCGCTAGATTTAGTCCCTCCTAAATGGTTTAGTTCCATTTAGTCACTACAGAGGACTAAAGCACTTTTAGTCCCCATTTAGTCACAGTGTTTGGGTAAAAAGTGACTAAATGAGACTAGATTTAGGAGCTCCTAACTGAACCAAACACCCCCTTAGCGTTGTGCTGCATCCTGTATGCTCTCATCCGATGCACACGTCACATAATTCCATTCACCTTTCACTCTGCAATGTTCAGGTCCAATGCACTTATTGGTAACAAGAGTTGAAGCCCTGGTTCTCCTAGACTGATATGAAACCTTTCCATTCTTATTGTTTTCATACAATGGAATTGCTGTAATACTCGATGTCTTAATGCTTGCATTGCTTGTTGCAAAATGACATATAGTGATATAGAGTAGAAGAAGTGGTGTTGTGATGTCTTGAATTTCCGACACAACAAACTTACCATCACATCGCATGAACAGGATATTCAGAAGTCAGGACTATAGGGATCCTTAGTCCATCTTGTTTCATTGATACCTAACAGTTACTCGGCCCACCTCTGCATCAGCTCCTTGCCATGAAGGTAAAAAGGTAAGCAGGGCCACAATCTGAGTGCATTTCCTCATAATGACCCTACCAAGTTTTCTGTTATTAAGGCGTGTACCATTGTGCTCTCTTCATGGGTCTACACAATGAAATGCCATTATGCTTACAGTCACAAACTCAAGATTTTGTTCAAACTTTATAATGTGGTAGTATTTAATTAATTAGAGCTGTGCCTGCAGTAAAGTCTGCGAGATGTTAAAGTTTCACTCCGGTTCTCCTTTGCATAAAGTGCATCTATTCTGAAACATTTATGCTATGCCATATATAAATATGATGATACAAGTGTTTGAAGGTTAGATACTGCAGTTTTATAGTACGCTTAAAGCTGCATTTATAAGATCAATTCTTCTCCATACAGTGGCCATAACTTCCAACTCTCTAATTGCTTGCCATTTCTGAAACAGAAGTGGTCCATTGCAAGCACACCCAACTTACTCCTTTTGGAGAAGCAGAGAGTATACTTCGCGGATATCGAGGCCTTTGAGCTGGTAGAGGAAGAGGCGTCCGAATCCGAGCTGGAGTAAAAACCGAAGCTTATCCCAGAAGAAATGGTCCCTTCTTTTTTCCTGTACAGAAGTAGTTTGCTGGAATCACGTTTATGATGCAAGCAGCAGTGAGGTATGGTAGCAATGTAACACGGGGGCGGACCGGTGTACCTTGGTGCAGTGATCACCGGTGAATGACAAAAGCTGGGATTTCAATCTGGATCCTGGAAATTGGATTGGACGATCAGTGGATCCCCTCTAATGCTATCCACGTGATGCTAGCTAGCCGTGTGGCGCAATGCATCCTGTATCGTACCGATGGCCGGCTTTGATTTCCTGTTTCCCTCTTCTTTATATAGTATATACTCAACTTTTACTGTACTTTTGTTACGATGTATATATTCCCATGGATCGATTCTATTTTACCTGGATTGGGTTGTGAGGAAGGTTCGTGTTGCATATTTAATGGCGTATGTCACCATGCATAAACGGTAGGCTGTTCATCTCGTATCATGTTTAGAGAACATGCAGAATTAAATTCGGCATTCCAAACTAACACGGCATACATAGAGTTTGTATATACACTTGGCCATCAATACAAATTGGCTTGCAAAACTAGGATTGCTTGCTGCCATTTCAGTCTTTGGTTTTTCCTGTGTGGTTTGTCTTGCATTGCTCGCTGCCATTTAAGTCTTTGGTTTAATAAACACCCACTGACACAAACAGCAACAGTCGGGTGTTTGGTCTAGTGGTATGATTCTCGCTTCGGGTGCGAGAGGTCGCGAGTTCGATTCTCGCAACACCCCCTATTGTTAATTTTTTATGTTTTATTTTTTTCTTGCTGAGCCTTTTAAAATTTTGCCTTCGGGGCTTTTTTGTTTGTTTGTTATTCGACCATTATCTCTTACATAACGAAGATCCTGCCAGGTTTGGGACCCAAGGTCCTGGGTTTCTGTTTCCAAGCCCGAAAGAAGAGGTTTTTGCTAAAGCAGTAAAAGAAAAGGAGAAGAAACCATATTTTCCAATAAAAAAAGAAACACACACACACACTTCGCGTCCTCCTGAGCTCCGAAGGTCCTGTTCTTGTATAGTTTTTTTCCCCTTTTTCTCCTGGAAGAGTAAATTGCATCCATCATACAACTACTTGTATGGTTGTTTCACTTTAGTCCAACAACATGTAAATTGTGCAAACTAATGCATGAACTTGTTAAACGTGTGCGTGTACTATCATATGTATGCCGTGAAACATATTTTTCCATGTTGGCATACTATGTGGACTTTTTTTATTGGGTACAACTTGGACGCATACAACCCATACACTTCACACTCACACCACATGTACACACACGCGTGCACGTCCGTACACACGCAAAGAAGAGATTGGGAGGCGACGTGGATCTACGGGGTGGATCTGCGGCAACCTCCCTTGGCTCAACGTGAATCCGCTAGATCGGCTATGTTTTATTTCTATTACAGTCAAACATAGTATGTATTCAAAGACATGTTTCAATCTTGAATAAATTTACTAGTTAACGAGATCCAATCTAATGATACTACCATAGCTGCATCGATCCGATCGAACCTCACTGGTAAGACTTTAGATTAGAAATTATCGACTAGTGGCTTTCTTCATGATCAAGATATGTACTTTGTTTGTTTGCTATGATTGCATCAACTATTTTAGCCGATTTGCCTATATTCTCACGCATATAGCATGTTTTCATGAATTTGTCGACATATAGATGGTTTTATAGATTCTTTGGCTTTAGTTTATCATCATTATCATAGCTGTATCGATCCGATCGAACCTCACTGTTAATGATAATAGATTAGACTCAAACTGTTTTTTAGATTCATTTATATTAGACAGTCGATTTGTTCGCATGTTATACTCTTTTCATCAAATTTATCGGCTCAACACTTTATATCGATCATGTTCCATTTAGCCGATGATGCTTTCTTGTATCGCTTCTTATGGATACGCTGGATATCGACTATTTAGTCGATAGCCTCATTGAATCGGCTATCTAGCCGTACATTTGGAACTGTTTGGTGCAACACCGACATGTTCCACCTTAAATTACTGATAATATTTTCTCTCCTTGTCAATTACAGGTCAAATTGACTGGCACATCGTTGGGTTTTCAGAATCGACTGGTTCTGTGTTCAAGCCAAGCAAATATTTGTTCACGTTCTATTCAGATCTTCCCACTTGCTGTGTGTTGATCACATTGCCATATTTTTATGTCAACAACTTCCTATCTATGCACATATGTAGGGGGGGCTAATGCTATCAATTCGGGTTTATGAAACTTATCCATATCCTTTACACATGATAAAAATGCTTGGGCAAGCAACATAAATCCAAAATGATTTTAATTCATATCTTTGTGAAAGGTTGTCATCATACAAAAAGAGGGAGATTAAAAGCCCTAGTTTGGTCTTGGATAATTGATGAAATCTATTAGAACTAACCATATGCTCTAAGTGTGTAATTGAGATAGGTTGGTGCAATCCAAGTGGTGAAGCTAGATGATGATCATGGTGATGGTGATGGCCTAAGTGAAGATCAAATGCTGCCTATTTGGAAAAGAAGAAAGAGAAAAATAAAATAGGCTCAAGGCAAAGGTAAAATGATAGGGCCATTTTGTTTTGCCACTCAAGACACCTAGTGGGTGTGAGTGGGTTTAGGATCGATAGTTGTACTATAAAAATGGGTGAAATTCAAGGGTGAAATTCATTGTGAAATGCGATTATCAAAGTGCGACTAGATATTCTAATTCATTGCATATGCATTTAGATTCTAGTGAGTGCTAACACCCTTAGAAATGCTTTGTGAAAATAGTAACTCAGTGCACAAAGGTGAGTCACAATGTGGTTAGCACTTGGAAGCAAGGGTGAAGAAGTTGGAGAAGAAAAGGAGGGGTTGCAGAGGGATCGGACCCTGGCTTCGACAGGACCGGATCCTGACCGACGAGTTTGGTCAGAGCAAGTAAAGGTGGCGCATCTCTGCACCCTTGACCGAACCCTGATGAAGTAGAAGGACCAGACCCAGTGCTGGTACTATTTCTGAGTCCGGTCTTGAAGACGTGGCAGCACACGGTGAGCGAGTGCTGGTGCTGTGCGGACCGGACGCTGCTGAGAGTCCGGTCGCACATGACAGGACGCGTCCGATTGGTAAAATGCTCTCTAGAACCTCTCTGGAGTGCACCTGATGAAACAACCTCGATTTCCACGAAGGAAAATCCACAGAGTCAAAGTGTAATAAGACCGTTGTAGATCATATTACCCAAATTCCAGTCGAATATCACATCCATACAACGATAGTATCAGAGTACAATAGTGCGGAATTACATAATTTATTACATCGCCGCATTGGCGGAATCAAAAGTAGCATTCATTCAGAACAGCTTGAAGATAAGATCGCCAAACTCGAGCGTAGGAACGAACCCCCTCAACCATCAAACTCCTCGAAGCTATACTCCTCAGCAGAACCTGTGTGCCAAAATTTATCAGTACGATTTGTACTGGCCACTCCCAACCCTATGAGCATTGCTTTGTGGGAATTGGATGCAAGTTGGATATAATCAAGAGGAACCTATTAAGTTGGGGTTTCCTATGTATTAGCATATCAAGTTCATAATAATAGTTGGTCAAGTTTTAACACCATTCTCACGCATTCCACCCCATTCCCATTCTAGAGCCAGGTTTCGATCCTGGGATCGATATACCACCATATCCACACCATCACCATACCACACCCGTATCATCGCTCAGTCGACAGGCCAACTCCCTCTCGGCACTGTCTCATGGCCCGTAGCCCCTGGCTACGTCCGAGCACTCACTCCCGGGAGAGAATAGAAAGACTCATCTCACTATCTAGTTTAAGCGAAACCCAGGAAAGGTCCATAGCCGACAAGTCGGCATATGTATCGATCGATCAACCATACACTCTGCAGAGGTTTTACATAACCACAAGATCCGCCTTCCTCGTGACCGTCGTCAAGCTGAAATTTGATTCCGGCGCTTGCTAGCCTAGGATAATGCCACTCTACCATTCAACCTGGTACACCCCAAGTCCATGCAGGGGTGGTGGCTATGAGTCATGAGCCGGGTCCACAAGGTCTCCATGAAGTCTCGGAAGGGTGTGGGGAAATCCTCTGCACCCATACCTCCCTCACACTTTGTCATGGTGGCAATACCCTACCAAGTAGTCCCATTAGTCCCAAACCATGTAGGGGCGAGTGGTGCGTAAGGCTTCCCGTGAATCTGAGTACTAGTAAGTCCTTAGGGATGACCAAGCCGAATGTCTTCATCGGGGTTTCCTTTTACCGTGCCACCACAACACCTCTCCACCTGGCTCCTCCCATCACAGGATCACACCCAAGGCCACCTCATATACCATTTACCCACCACAGATATCCATTCCAGGGGTGCCCAGGTAGCACCCCACGGCAAGACTTGCCCTAGGCTCGTCGTATACTCCAACTTGGTCGACACAACCCTCACCCTCCACGCACCCAAGTCACACACGCAGCACTCTCCCCAATCACCAGTTTCCACCATGCATCAATGTAGTGTAAGCATAGTAGAAGTAATAAGCAATGAAATATAATAGCAAGCGTGTGACTAGCCTAGCAGCAGGGTGAGCAGGGGTAAGGTTGCATCAAGGTAAAGGCCATCAAGAAAGCATACTACCATGCAAGTCCTACCATAGTGTGATATGACAATAAAGTAAGCACTAGCATTTCTACTTTAGCCATGCGTAATAGGTGCTACGAGATTGGGTGGGATGTGGCACCTTCAGTGTAGTCATCTCCGTACTCCTCACGGTACTCACGATCCTTGTCCGTCCGGTTTTCCTCTGAGTTTGCAAACGATCGCATTATAGTCGCGTTAGCGACGTCTATGGAATAGCACAAAGAAGCAATGAAAATTCAAAAGAGCCAAATGCACTCAAACATGGGTTCATTGCGTAGAGCTCGATTTTAGAGGAATTTTGGTTATGGTCTCGTATTTTTCCGAGGTCGTATGAATTA